TGTAGAGTGTTGAGTCGTAGAGCAGGGTCATTTCAAGCACGTCTATCATTTATTACCTCCCGACAGGTACAGTGTAGCAGACATGCATTGCATTCTATTGTCTTTCTTCCTTTTTTTTTCTTTCTTTCCTTCTTACACTTTTGTCAGGGTTTCGTTATCACAGTCTGCTCTCACCACTTTTTGCTCCTACAATTCATTATCCCCCCTTCTTGTATTTATAGAACTGACTTTATGAAGTCGTGCACTTTTATATGAATACCGGTACCGTAACAGTAATTTCGACTACCCCCCATATGAAAAACGAATTAAGACCATCTTTCACGTTTGATGCCTCGATGAAGGGCTCAAATGTGGCCCTCCTTGATGTAGCCCCACAGCACATGAAGTCAGATCGGAATGGAGGGCTCAAGTTTTCCTTTTCCTACCCATTTCTCCCACCACCTGTTTCTCTAATTCAATGCACCCCCCACCCTTTCTACCTCCCACTTGTTGTTGCCGAGAACTGACTAAAAAGTGCCCTTTAAACTATATGTAATTACCACACCCTTACCCTGTCCCCAGCTGTTGTATTTCTCATTAATGCCAGTTATGAATCACTAGAAAGCATTGAGTAGGCTAATTATATATTTTAAAAAAGCTAAATATGATGCAACTATATATAGAAACATGTGGTATGGTTGCGTAGCTAGCGCACAGTTCCTCTCCACCCTGGCCTTGAACTACGTTATGTATTTTCCAACACGTGCACTGTACTGCTGCATGTGACGCCCCAGGCTGCTCAAATGGTAGTCAGTCAGCTGTGAAATAGAAAGTTACAGAATGGAGGTCAAGGAAAACTCGGTCACGAAAGACATGGTATAGTTCATATGCGGTTTGATGGGGGTGGGAATGGAGGAAGTAGAAGAGGAGGGGGAGGAGGGGGAGGAGGGGGTAGAAGGAGGAGGAAGAGCAGTGAAGAAGAGAATTTAGAGGAGGAGGAGAAGCAGGAAAAGGAGGAAGAGTAGTAAGAGGAGAAGGAGCAGGAGGGGTAAAAGATGGAAGAGCAGGGAAAGTGTGGGGGGCGGGGGGAAGATCAGTTGGACATTTTAAACAGTGTTAGTACAATTCTAAAAA